CTTGGTACAACTAGGTGTTTCAGACCCCATTCTTTATTGGCCATGCTCCCCAGGTAGAGCACATCTATTCATCTCTGTTCTGCTGATTTACAGACCGCTTCCCCAGCCTTACTGCTCGGATTTCTGTGCTCTATGAAGAAGCCAGTCGTATCTCTTTCCTCAGGTGGACACATCATATTCTTTATCATTTCTTCCAAAAGGCCTTGCAGCAGATCCGTTTCCTGAGTTCCCCTGAGATCTCCCTGTCTTAAAGTTAGACTGTTTAATGATGAACTTGGTGGGGCTGGACCCCTCTAAGGAAGACCACAAATTACTGTCCATGCATCCTCTGGATACCAGTATCTCCATGCTAAAAGAATGTTAATATAACCCCCCAAAACTGAAGTATCTAGAAAAGTTTTAGGTTTCCATATGTGTGCTGGATCAGTTGTAGAGCCTGACTAGCACTTCCCAATAACGAACAGTGATATGAAAAATGTTGCAGTCGTGGCAGGAAGACTTGATTAGTGGATACAGAGAAAAATAAGTCATATGCAGAAGCCTGTAAAGATGTCTGCCAACAGGAAGGAAGAAGCAGATAAAGCAGACAGCAGCAGACAGATAGCATGGACAAAGAGAAACTGGAAACAAGAAAAAAAAAAAAAGAAATAAGATAATATGACAGTAAAGGAATGAATTAACTCAGGAAGAAGACTAAAATCTTATCATCCAAGTCATAAAACCAAAACACTACAACTAATATGTCAGATTCAGCTCAGAGAAAATTCAGTTTGCAAGCATAAATGATGGTGCAGTGCTCTTGAAAGAGGAAAGTTTGATGATGGGAAGAAAACCCTGGGAGCATAAAGCAGAGCACTGCAAGGAATAGCCCTGGGAAGCCAGGCCAGAAGACCTGGGGTGCTGACTCCTAGCAGCTTCTCAGCTTTGTGCCAGAGAGGATTCGTGGCAGTGCCCTTGCACCATCAAACGTGTGAGGGCAGCTGAAATCGATCATGGTGACTGGAGTAAAACGCTATTGCCATTGGCATTTTACTGCAGGTCAATATAGTGCAGAGTTATCATTTAGTGACCAAAATAAGTTGTTTTACAAAGAAATTCTTTCTTTGTTCCTTTAGTTCTAAGCCATTACTTCATTTACCTTTCTACAATATCACTTAATATTTTTTCATTTTGTTACTGTTTAATAGCCCATTCTACAACCAGAACAGTATTACAAGGCAGCCTAGCGTGATCCAATACTTTTGGTCTCATTAATTTAGCAAGCAGTATAAAAGTGGTGGCACAGAAATATAAATAATACTGTACCCACAGTTAGAAAAATATTACAAAGAATATTGGTGTTTTCGGATGCGGGTTTGCATAAAAACGCTCTACGGTCCAACTGAACAGGAAAACTCCATCTGCTTCAAAGAAAGCCAGCATTTCACCTCATGAATCCAGCAGCTGGATTCCTTTCCTGTGTACATATATAGGAATAAACTTTTGTCTATACGATACTCAGAGAAAAAGAATGTGCTCTGAATGCTTGCATTCAAATATTTTGCATGACTATTCACATCATAAGTGTTCATGCAGTCAGTTTAAACATTAGTGGGTTTAGCAAGAAAGCAGATGGACCTGTATGTGACTTAGGTACCAAAGCACAAATTACGAAAATTTTGAACAAAAGTGTAGTTGAATAAACTACACACAGAATAATTTAAATCACTACCAACTTACTATTTGCTTTCCTAGGCTTAACTATGTTCTATCCAATTAAGAAAAAAGTTGAACATAATCACCTCAAACTTTTTCTACCACAGTTTTTATTAAAACAATAATATCACTTTTATTAAACTTCAAACTGCATCAAGTCCACAAAAAAGAAAACAACAAAGACTACATGTGCAAGTGCAACAAAATCATGTGAGATGGGAGAGACGCCTAGGGAAAAGAGAACTGATGTTTGCAGCTGTGTTCCTAACCAGCCTTGGCAAGGCAGTTGTGTGAGAAAGCCAACACAAGTGTCAAAAGTCTTGAACAATCAGGTGTGGTGAGACTGAAGGCCATAGAGGAAACAGCTGGGTGGCAATGACACTACTGTATCGACATGTATAACCCAAATTTATCTTGGAATCCTTAGTACTTATACATAGCAACAGGATATGTCACAGTGACTACATGTGTCAATCTAAGTGCCTTCCAGACCCACCAAAGAAAGCAATCCAGCAGCCAAGGGCAAAAGTTAACCAGATGATTAATTCATACCTTCCATTGTCTTTTGCAGATAGATATCCATCATTTTTCCCTCAAAAATGAGTGCTGTCTTATATCCAATGATATAAGCATACAAGCAGTATGCTATATAGGCAGCTTTTACTCTCAGTTGGAAACTCAGACTAGGGATTCATCACATTTTAATTGAAAGACCTTTTATTTGATCATTGTTATAATGAAACATTCCCAATGTACAGCACTGTATACCGCAGAGCCACGTAGGAATATTACGTTTGATTAATACGTTTGCTAACCAAAGAAATCAACCAAAGGTCTGTTGGAAACAGCACTCACAAAGGGTCAAGCTTTGGGACAACACAATCTGTAATGCAGAACTTGCATCTGCGCAGCAAACCTGAAGAGACATTAACCCTAACAACTCCCTCAAATTTGTGCTTAGAACTACTGCTTAGATAACCTGGATGTACTGCTGAGGCTACCAGGCACTGGGAAACAGGGTGGCATGGATCTCCATCACTGATGAAGAAAAATAGCATTCAATACTTTTAGGCTGACACTTTGAAGTTTACTAGTAAGAAAAGCCTAAAAATAATTTCTTCATCATAACCACCCACCTTATAGCCCAAACTATTTTGGCAAAAATATTTCATGAAACTTGCTTAAAAGGTGAATAAAAGAGCATCCTTCAAAAAAATGTGCCTGGAAGAAAATTGGGCGAAGGGCTGCCACTAAGCTTTACTGGGAATGTTGGACTTGTAAAGGAGGAATACAGAAAGGCTGCAGAAATTAGTAACTTTGTGAATGCTCAGCACTTCTGTAAATCCAGGTGGCCAGGGGAGGTTTTCAGACCATCACGTGCACAAACTGGCCTTACTCTTTAAGGATCATCTTTTCAAAGTGCTCAGCTGCCTGCACTGAGAACAGAAAGAGAGAGAGATCTAATGGCTGGTAGGTTGTTTTTTGGAGGTTGGTTTGTTTTGTGTTTTTTTCATTAAAAAACAGTCTCTAAGATTACAAGTATTGTCAAACCCATGAAACATGAAATGGCAAATTGGGATCACAGTTTGGGTCCATCTAGCCTGTTACTTTACTCATTAGCACTTCAGCAGTGCTCAGGACCAGACGCCTTGGAAGGATATGACTCCCATTAGGTCTCATGCTAAACACTAATAGTTCCCAAGCGTTTTAAACACTGAAGGCAAGATGCTTTGTATCTTTCTCCACACTTTTTTAAAGAATCAAGAAACATCTTTTGGTAGGCAATGTAACTGTACTCTTTTTTTCTGAAAATAGTACTTGCAAATCTAATTTATTTTTCATGCAATATCCATTAAAGAACAACATTAAAGAGGAAACATAAAGAATATTTTCTATTAAAAATAAGCAAGCAAGCAAGCAGGAATTGCATTGTGTTGAGAAGTTTTATTATTATCTTCATGTTATACTCATGTCATAGAAAAGGGCTGTTCAACACTTCTGGTAATCAAGAGATGAACAGTCTGCTCCTTCTTTATATTTCTATATAGCATGTATGAGACCACCAATGCATCATCTTTGGAAGGCAGGGAGAGGTGATACAAAAAACTCCAAGGGAAAAATTAAGTGACATGACCAAAATCTCATGGGGAAATATGTGGCAGGGATTAAAAAGGAAACCAAACATTCAGAATCCCAACCCTATGCTTTAACCACAAAACCAACTTTCTTCACTAATACTGAATTAACCCAGTAACTAAAAACAAGGAAAAACCAAGTACATATATTATGTGTATCTTGCCACTTGAACAACTCTGATGACACTCAAGTGTCCTCAAACTAAATAAGAAGCAACTACAAATATATGTTTAGTCCCAGTGTGGTAATCAGTTCCACAAACCAAAAGTACTAGAAAAGCAAGGGAAAGTAACCTCGCATAACACTGCTTGCTGAAGCTGTTAAACCACACATGCAGCCGTAATGTATTGACTGAAAGATCTACAGGAATATACACTACTGACAAGAAGGGACTACTGACAAGGAGGGACTCAATACTCATGTTCAAAGCATGAAAAATGTTTTCCACTACAGCAGAAAGACTAGTAGAAAATCAAGCAGAAGTCTTTAAATTTTTAATTAAGACTCAAAAAGAACCCCCTTATAAAAGAAAAAATCCTAAGCAGTCTAAAAAACGTTGTGGCATCCTACTTCAGACAAATCTTTTTTTTTTAAATCACAATGAATCAGAGCTAGGTAGGGGCTAGGAAGAAGCTATTTTGCAGAAGAGAAAAACACAGGTACTTTTCACTGACAAGCTGTTTTTGTGGTTCAGGCAGTTCTGCAGCAAGAGTAACCAGACCATTTGAAAAGCGAAAAGAAAATCAATTACTTGTTTTTATTTTAAAAGATTCCCTGTGGGAATAGGTGTGGGCGTGAGAGCTCTTTTTAAACTTCATAATATAACATGAAGCAGCCAAGATTTTTTTTTTTTTTTAAGTACTGTCATGTCATTGCTCTGCTTACTGGGTGCCGGAATGATTTTTCTCTACTTATGATTCTACTGATCCTTATCAAAATGCATCTGTGAAGCATTCAACACTAACATTTTAAAACAGAATATTTATTCAAACAGCAATACTGAGCAAAACAAATTTCCAAGGCTGCTATGCGAGTTCACTGATGACAGCAAAAGTCTATTTACCCAGTTACTCCTGCGTTCTGCATGCAGTAGGTTTCTATCAGATTTTTGTCTGAGCAAATCAACATTTTCTGAGAATTGAGATCCACAGGTAAAGTTTACAACTAACCTTGCTATCTTCGATCTCCTGGGTTCTTCCTTGAAGCGTTCGCCTCTCTCCAAAATCACAGGTTGACTTTAACGTAAGCTGACAAGAAAGCATTGAGCTCTCCGCCCCAGTAAGCTCCAAAGACTTTGGTGAGTACTGCTGCGAGCCAGCGGGGCCAAGGGTGGGTATCGGGAGGGCAGTGTGAACAGGCTTTGACCCTACGGCTGGCTGTCTTAGCTTGGAGGCAACCCCAAGTACAGGCATGGCTTCTATAAAAGTATCTTCTTTCTGCCAAAGAAAATGCTCCTGACCTCAGTCTGGTAGACTCCAGCTTCAGAAATTCCAGAACAAATACTTTAAACAAAAGTAGCAGTCATCTTTTCAAAAACGTCTTAAAACAATAATATTACGAGTTTCACAAGGAAGCAAAACTTTTCCTTCATCTCTCCCCTTCTCCCTCGCAGCCACTCACACGCGCTGCTCAGTGAGTCAGTGGCTCTGTAAGACTAAACACTCCTTTGGGGCGTGAACTTTTCTTGAAGGTAACTGCCACAGAGCTGCCTGTCTGGGATTAAAGACCTCATAAATTCGCTTTCTCTTCTTCCTACAGCATTCCAGGTCTGTGCGTTAAGTGAATGAAGGACGGGAGAAAAGGAGGGAGAGAAGAGATGAAACTTCCCCGTACTCCAACTGTCAAAACAGCTCTGAGACCACAACACTGGAAGCAGAGACCTCTTCCTGACTACATAAATAACCAGCCCACATCTTAAAAAAAAACAAACCTCTTTTTTTTCTGATTCAAAAAAAAAAAAAAAAGGACCTGAGCAGTGGCCAAAGCAAACAGCTGTTGGAAGAGTTTTTATCCCGGAAATAATCTCAGCAATGAAGCTGTTTGTCTGATTCCTGGCTATTTTTCACTGCTGACAACCATGAGCTACGGTGTTTCATTCCCTGTTCCTCCCGTGAAATCAGGTTAAAATCGTGCAAGAGCGTGGCTAGGAACAGACGCTGAATCACAGTGTGGGTAACGTCTGTCTGTGCTATGAAAAATCCATACAAAAACACAGAGCAGGATATAGGAAAATCACGAGCATTGTTAGAAGATTTAGTCAATACAGCTTTTCAGAGTTCTTTTTTTTTCTTTCTTTCTTGGTGGTGGTGCTAACGTCATCTATTCAATGTTAACACTTCCCTTTCTAAAAACATTTAAAGCTCCATGAAGTCCATGTCCAACGCATCATTTCTGCTTGTTGCTCATAGAAATATTCTTGCTGGCGACCTCAAACCCTTGTACATGGAAATACAAGACAGATAGGCAAGCAGAGCAGGCTATAAAATGAGTCACGATGGACAGTCCAAATTGCTGAGCAGCATAAACACTTACTTAAAAGGACAACTGTAAATTCCTTTGAGAGCCTATAGCAGGGGAACCCATTTAAAACAGTGATATAAGGAAAAAAATGTGCAGAAATGCCACACCATTAAACTCCTATGGGGTTTTATCACCCAGCATCATGGACAAAAATGTTCCACATGTTTTTCTTGTTATCTCTTACAAAATAAAACATAGAGAGATAGGATGACCTGAATCCTATTCTGCCACTAATATCCTACATGGTATTAACTATGCCTTCCCTGAATAGTATGTACTATTAACACTATAGATGTAAGCACAAGACAAAATAAGAGCCTTTTGGACTTTTAAGTTCTCAAATTAAGGATGGCAAGAGTTAGAAAAAGCATTGAAAAGAAAACAGAGTAAATGAGAAGCAGACTAAAAGGATCCTCTTAAATTACCCTTTGAAATTATTTTGCAGAATGAAACCGTAATACACAGTATTATCCTCTATCTTTCATTTACAGAGATCACACTGACACAGTAGTTAAAAATTCAACTCTCTATATTGACCTATAAACTATCCCATTCTTGTTTGTAGTTGTAGAAGTGAATCTGACCTGGTTTAGGAATCTCCTGAGTTTTGAAGTGTGCGTACGGAGGATCAGCAAACCCATTTCAGCATCCTCTGCTTACCTTCTCTTTGGTTTTGCCACCATTAACAGTAGCCGCAATGGGCTTTATGCAAGACCGCACAGAGGTAACTGTTCTGCATTTTAGAAAAGTTCAGCCCACAGGATCCACCACTCTCCGCTCCAACGAGTGGAATATTCTTGTTCGGTGTGACATTTCAGGTCTTGTGCAGAGCAAAGGGGAAGGAAGCTCCTTGTGCGGTCTGCATTTGTTCTCCAGCATCATAAAGCACTGTGTCTGTGTAAGGAATTTAGGTTTCTTAGGCACAACTGTTAACAGTTAACGCTTTAGAAAGTGCACATATGCAAAGGCTGAAGCGGACCGCAGGAAAAGAGGGATTTATCTCTTGCAAGGTTTGAGGAGATGAAAAATCCTCATGAGGACTGTTAACCAACGATCAAGACAAAGAATAAACTGGAGTCATGAGACAGATACGTTCTTAAAAAGAACTTTGCCAAAAAAATGTAATTGAATCTTATTACTTCTCAGGGTTATAATTTTACGAAGTAATGCATTATGGTAGTCTTGCTGTTCTTCTTTTGAATACGAATGATGAGGTCATGATACCCACAGTCTCTTTTGCAACCCATTTTCCCAGCACAGAAACCCTAAAAGTAATAAGTAAGCAAGCTTACTAGGAGAGAGTCATCTGTAATACATAACCAACAGGGTTTGGAAACAATGATTTGAAGCTGGTGTTACTCTTTCAAAATAATTATTACTCTTTCAAAATAGTTATTAATTATATTATGACTTTTAAGCTAGTAGCAGGTCAGGGCCATCAACTTCAGAACCCCATTTAGCTAGAATTTTTACAATGATAAAACCTAGAAGTGCTTCTGGTCTACCGAAGATACAGAGAAGAATCTACAAGACTCTTTGCAGGAATCAGGAAAGTTAATGGAGGAAAACAATAATAATACTCCATAGGTAAGAATGTGATTACAAGCCTGGTTGTAAGTCTGGTCTTCCTTTTTTTGTTTTCTCTCATTCTAATCCTAAGCAAAAGATAAATAAACAAACATCTGCTATCCTTAGAAATCACTTAGCTACATTTTTTGCTTGAAAGGCTTTTGTGTACCTCATGATGAATGTGGGTTTTATGAAGTATATCAGGGGAAAAGAATATTTAACAACTAAGCTTCGGTAGTGTTTTCCATGCAAACAGGAAAGCACAGAATAAAGCATCCGTGGACAACATGCACGAACTGGCACCAGACGCAGGTGCTGGTCGTGGAGCTGGACAGGCAGGGGATGGCACCACAGGCAGAAGGTGTCTGGGCCCACAAGGATTCTGTAAAGGGAGGAACAGGGCGTAACTGTGGGGAAAGGGCAAAGCTGGAAACTGCAAAGAAGGGCGCCTTGTTAGGCATGGCACTGGAAATGTGAGTTTAGTAGGATTGTCCTTGGTAGCTCTGGGGTGGGGAGCTAAGTGACCATCAAGCAGGGCTGAAGGGAGAATCCAAAGAAGCAGTGAGGATGATTTAGATATGTGTGTGAATAGTGATGGATGATTTAGATATGTGAATAGTGTCCAAATAGAAAGAAGGCATATCTGTGAGAAACCAGGGGTGGAGAAGTTGCAAGCAGTGGTTATAACCTGGGGTTACGTGAAATCAAAGACAACACCAGACTGCCTGGCATGAGGGACAAAAGTATTGTTGGCAGGATAGAGAAAGTAATGAGTAAAAAGATATGCCTGACAGAAAAACGGGACACATCTTCACTTGGTTACATGAAGCTGATAGAGAAATACCTGGAAAGGGATTGCAAAGAAACAGGTCAGGCTAAACATTGTACAGAGGGAGGACCTGCAGGTTTCTAATTTTCCCACTTAGACATTTATCAGCTTAGATATCTTCAAGCCAGGCAGGTAGGGGACATCAGCTGGGTTCAGGATGCAGGAGGATGAACACAGATCATGACTGAAGCCCTGACACAAGGGAAATGATGAAGTTGTGCAGGAAAGCTTAGAGAGTTATGAGGAAGCTAGAAGACAACTGAGCTGTGGAAAAAACCAGAGGGCAACATTTCATGTGGGATGTTAGATAAAGAGATAAAACTGGAAAGGGAGACCAAAAAATGGGAAAACAGAGCAAAGGTCAAAACAGAATTCTTAGTAGTTTTGTCAACAGTAGTGGCAGTTCCAGCAAAATGTTGAAGGAAGGAGCATTTCTTTAGCTAATAACGATTAAAAATGATGACAATCTGGCTATAAAGCACAACTCTGAAAGCATCAAGCAATCAATGTTTTTGCAGAAATTATGAGTTAGATGAACGATGTGTACCTCAAAGTAAGACAGTATCTATGCATTCAGTATAATTATCCCCACATCCCAGAAAAATCTGTAATATTTATTTCATATAACAAGAGTAAACACACCTGAAATCCAAGCCACCTCATAAAAGAAGGTATCTGTCAGTTGTAATATTAAGGCGAATTTTTGTTCTCAAGACTTAACAGGAATAACCATTCACATCACAACACCCCAGCATAAATTTCTTTCCTTCATCACATCTGATACCAGAACGAGTTCCATGAAGGCTGCTCCCCTTCTGTACCCCGCAGCCCTTCTGACAAACTGCTCGCACGAACTGAACAGACAGCTGGCAGTGTCTCCCAGACCACAGGAAATATCAAGAGAGGGGACACCTGCCTCAAAAGTGGAGCCAAGAGATTTGTTTGCTCCTTCTGGTCTATGATCTTCGACAAGGAAGCTGTTGCATGTGTCCAGGGTCAAACAGGAAATGTCAGGGGTCCAGAGACTGCAGAGGTCTGTTCTGAGCTGTTTCCCTACTTCATCCCACTGGTGTAACAGCTGTGTCTATAGCTTACGTGAGCCGGGCCAACTTCTGAACAGGCTTGAATGTGCCGATACAATCACATGATTTTGTACACACTGATTTCAGGTTGAGCAGAAAGTTTTCCCCAGCTGGGAACAGAGAAGTCTCGAAAAAGCAACCAACGATACTAAAATACTGAAGGTACCTGAAACGGCTTTTATGATTTATTTAATAAACCCAGGTAAGCCAGGTTTAAACTTTTCTAATACAAGTAAGAAGCACTCCACGTGTCTGTTTGGTGTAACAAAACATGTTCAATCTGTCAGATAATGATGAGACAAATTGTTCAGCTCTGACTCATGTTCACAGCGTAATTCTACTGACATTAATTTTGTTATTACAAAAGTCAGGTGAATCCATTAGTCTCAAGGTAAGACATGTAACAAGTATTTCATCCTATCTGCAACTATGTAATGCTACTGAGTGAGCTGCTATTGTTTTTCTTAACAGTTTGGAATTCCCAAAGATATATAATCCAAAGCCCAGTTACAGTCACAGAAAAAGGTGCATCCGGCTTCCTAAAGGAAATCCTTCTGCTTTGGCTGAATGGTTGGGGAAGTTTTTCAAAGAGGACAACTTTTAAATAAGGATATCGTTTTATCCTCTGAACAATTTGGCCCTTCAAAGCTCAGCCAGGAGTTTATGGTTTTGAATGCATTAACAGATAGAAATGACCATATCTTTTACAATTTTTATTCATGCTGTACATTTGCAGCATCTTCCATC